GTAGTAGTAGTAGTAGTAGTAGTAGTAGTAGTAGTAGTAGTAGTAGTCGTAGTAGTAGTAGTAGTAGTAGTAGTAGTAGTAGTAGTAGTAGTTAGTAGTAGTAGTAGTAGTAGTAGTAGTAGTAGTAGTAGTAGTAGTAGTAGTAGTAGTAGTAGTAGTAGTAGTAGTAGTAGTAGTAGTAGTAGTAGTAGTAGTAGTAGTAGTAGTAGTAGTAGTAGTAGTAGTAGTAGTAGTCGTAGTAGTAGTAGTAGTAGTAGTAGTAGTAGTAGTAGTAGTAGTAGTAGTAGTAGTAGTAGTAGTAGCAGTGGTAGTAGTAGTAATAAAGTCGTAGTCGTAGTAGAGGTAGCAATGGTAGTCGTAGTAATAACTGTTTTGGTCGTAAAAGTAATGAGAGTGGTAGTAGTAGTCGTCGTGGCAGTAAAAAAATTACCCTGCGACGTACCCAACCCACGTGCATCAAATGGCAAGAGGACTATGCCAACATTAGCAGGAACAACGACTGTGTAGACGCGGCGATTTGCTGTGCAAGCTACATGGGATGCGCATGCGCTGCACGATTCACAGGACGACGATCGAAAGAACGAGGATTGAGGCCCCAGGATCGAAGAATAACGGGTACGGGAACGAGGGCTAGGAGAGGGATGGAATGGAGGGCGGGGGGGGCGAAAAGGCCATCGCGGAAGCAGCAGCGTGCATGGAGAAGGTGAGGCGGGGAATAGGACGACGATGAAAGTGGCGGGAGGAGACAGAAGACTGCCGCGTTTTTCAAGCGCGAGCTAAACCCGCAGCGCTGCCTGCGCCATGTCGTCGCAGAGTTCCATATGATAAAACTTGTTTAGAATGCAAGGAACGAGCGAGGCGTAGCTCGCCCGCTAGCTTCTCCGCCTCCTTCCCGCACATTTCAGCGCGGGAGCTGAACGCTCGCAGGCGCGCCGCCAGGTCTGCGGGCGGCCCGCGGGAAAGAAACTCAAGGCCGGGGTCGCGCATCATCAATCGGTTGTCCATCGTCCAAAGTTGCACTGGCGACGTACTGGTTGAACGCGGAGCGAGCAGCATCACGCGCGTGCCTGAACGCCACGCAGGTACAGTGCACGCGCGATTGGGACTTCAGGTCGATCACGCGCGTCTCCACCAGGCTTGGCAACACCACGCGACTGAGGATCTCACTGCGGTCTGCCATGCTGCTGTCCGCGAATGCAATGCGCTGCCTGCAAGTAAGGCGGCGGCGTCCACTTGTCTCAGAAGATGTTCCCGCGGGCCCGAAGGGCGACCGCCAGCTCGAGCCGCGGCGCCGGCAGGCCAGATAAGGATCATGCAACAGCAAAGACGATGACAGAGCAACGAGGTATCGGCGAGTGCATGACCGGCCTCCGTTTCCTGCACTTCTTTCCTGTAGTTCCCCTAGCTCATCGAGCTCAGCAGATGTTTCTGCGGGTCCGAAGGACGACCGCCAGCTCGAGTCGCAGCGCCGACGAGCTGCATCCACATCAGGCAACACCCCAGGAGACACTGGCACACAACGATTTGACGTCAGTCAGTGCCAGACCACTCCATGTCTAGTTCCTCGCACACATACAGTCGATCGCAGATGCGGGATAATCGAAGTAGAATGACGGGTCCAATCTGCGTCCGCGTAGGACGTCACTATGCTGGACCCCGCAGCAGGTTTCGAAAGTGGCGACAGTTTCGTGGGCCCCACAGCAGCCCTCGAAAGTGGCGACAGTTTCACAGATCGCAGCCCCCCAGGGACGGCGAGGTCTAATCTGACTCCCCGTAGGACGTCACTCCGCTGGCCCCCCAAGCAGCCTTCGAAAGTGGCGACAGTTTCACAGATCGCAGCCCCCCAGGGATGGCGAGGTCTAATCTGTATCCCCGTAGGGCGTCACTCCGCTGGGCCCCCCACGCAGCCTTCGAAAGTGGCGACAGTTTCACAGATCGCAGCCCCCCAGGGATGGCGAGGTCTAATCTGAATCCCCGTAGGGCGTCACTCCGCTGGGCCCCCCAACAGCCCTCGAAAGTGGCGACAGTTTCACAGATCGCAGCCCCCCAGGAATGGCGAGGTCTAATCTGAATCCCCGTAGGGCGTCACTCCGCTGGGCCCCCCAGCAGCCCTCGAAAGTGGCGACAGTTTCACAGATCGCAGCCCCCCAGGGATGGCGAGGTCTAATCTGAGTCCCCGTAGGGCGTCGCTCCGCTGGGCCCCCCAGCAGCCCTCGAAAGTGGCGACAGTTTCACAGATCGCAGCCCCCCAGGGATGGCGAGGTCTAATCTGAATCCCCGTAGGGCGTCACTCCGCTGGGCCCCCCAGCAGCCTCGAAAGTGGCGACAGTTTCACAGATCGCAGCCCCCCAGGGATGGCGAGGTCTAATCTGAATCCCCGTAGGGCGTCACTCCGCTGGGCCCCCCAGCAGGCCTCGAAAGTGGCGACAGTTTCACAGATCGCCGCCCCCCAGGGATGGCGAGCGGCAAGCTAGGTAGGTAAAAGGCAAGCGAGAAGAGGACGAGCGAAGAGAGGCGGAGAAGGGAAGCAAGAGAGGAGAGGAAGAGGGAAGAGAGGAGGAGGAGGCGGGAAGGAAGGAAGGAAGGTGGAGACCGCAGTGCTCTATTCAAAACGAGAACCCAACGCAGGAGGGTAGGGAACAATCGTAATAACAACCGAAATAATGGAGATAATAACAGTCGTAATACTAAGAATCGTTTTGGTAATAGTATTAAGAGTAGTAGTAGTAGTAGTAGTAGTAGTAGTAGTAGTAATAGTAGTAGTAGTAGTAGTAGTAGTAGTAGTAGTAGTCGTAATAGTGTTGTAGTAATAGAAGGGGTAGTAGTATGAGTAGTAGTCTAGTAGTTGTAGTAGTACTGATAGTTGGCTACGTAATAGAAGCAGCCGTAGTAATACTAACGTAACTGTAGTGATAGTAGTCGCAGTAGTGGTGGTCGTAGTACGAATTAACGTCGCATGAGCGGTTGTAGTACTCGTAAGCGTCTGTGTGGACATAATACTGGTAGTGCTAGTAGTAGCAGCAGTAGGCGTAGAAGTAGTAGTCGCACTTGCAGTGGTGGTAGCTGTAAGAATCGTCAGCTAAGTAGTAGTAGTGGTACCGGTAGTAATAGTAGTACTAGTAGCAATAGGAATACTAGTAGTAGTTTTGCAAATACTATGATAAATCGCGGTAGTAGTCGTAGCGGTAGTACTCGTAGCGGTGGGAGTAGTCATAGTGGTACTCGTAGTGGTAGTAGTAGTGGAAGTCGTAGCCATGATAGTAGTAGTCGTAGTAATAATAGTACTCGTAGTAAATAGCTACATAGCGTTAGTAGTAATAGTAGAAGTAGAAGTAGAAGTAATAGTAGTAGTAGTAGTAGTAGTGGTAGTAGTAGTAGTAGTAGTAGTAGTAGTGTAGTAGTAGTAGTAGTAGTAGTAGTAGTAGTAGTAGTAGTAGTCGTAGTAGTAGTAGTAGTAATAGTAGTAGTATTAGTATTAGTAGTAGTCGTCGTAGTAGTAGTAGTAGTAGCAGTAGCAGTAGTAGTAGTGGTCGTAGAAGTAGTAGTAGTAGGGGTAGTAGTAGTGATAGTAGTAGTAGTAGCAGTACCAGTAGTAGTCGCAATAGTAGTAGTAGTAATCGTAGTAGTAGTAGTAGTAGTAGTAGTAGTAGTAGTAATAGTAGTAGTAGTAGTAGTAGTAGTAGCACTCGTACTAGAAGTAGCAGTAGCAATGGTAATAGTATTAGTGGTCGTCATCGTAGTAGTAGGTAGTAGTAGGTAGTATTAGGTAGTAGTAGTAGTAGTAGTAGTAGTAGTAGTAGTAGTAGTAGTAGTAGTATTAGGTAGTAGTAGTAGTAGTAGTAGTAGTAGTAGTAGTAGTAGGTAGTAGTAGTAGTAGTAGTAGTAGTAGTAGTAGAAGTATAAGTAGAAGTAGTAGTAACACTAACAATATTAGTCGTGACGGGGGCAACGATGCGAGAGGTACTGGATCAAGCAGATATGATGGGAGTGGTGAACATACTGGCACGAGCAGTAATAAGTAAAGCATTATCCAAACGAAGCACCCAACCATATGTGACGAACAACCTTCGGTGGAACTCGCTACGGGGCCATGAGACGCACCAAGGGAATGCGGAAATGAGGCGGGGCCGCCCTGCGGGCGCTTCCGCAGGGGCCACCCGCAGGGGGCGCGGAGGTCACACGAAACATGGTACAAGCTGATGTAACTTGGTGCGGCTGACAAGCACCGGGAGAAACTGGAGAAGACATGCACGCGCGGCATGCGAACGCAGCCAGGCCTCCGGTGAAGCTTCCTCTGGGGCCACGAAGCGTGTGAAGGGTGTGCCAAAGTGAAAGGGGTGGCAGTATGCTAGCGCTGTCACTGGGGCTTTCAGTGGAGCTCTGCATTGTGCCACGAAGCGTGTGAGGGGTGTGCCAAGGGGGGGGGGGCGCGGCATGCGAACGCAGCCACGGTGGCCTTCGGTGGAGCTCCCCATGGGGCCACGAAGCGTGTGAACGGTGTGTCAAAATGCAGAGGGGAGGCGGCATGCGAACGCAACCACTGACGCTTTCAATGGAACTTCCCATGGGGCCATGAACCGTGTGAGGGTTGTGCCGAAGCGGGGGGGCGGCATGCGAACGCAGCCACTGGCGCCTTCGTTGGAGCTCCCAATGGGGCCACTCGGCGTGTGAAGGGTCAACCAAATTGAGGGGGGGTGCGGCATGCGAACGCAGCTCAAGGGGCTCACCTGGCCGTCAATTCTCGGTAAGAGGCTACGACATGGGGCTGTCCCCAGGCGAAGGGTGCTCCCATGTGACAGCGCCTGCGTCACCCCCGAAGGGCTGCCAAATGGCGGCCCTGGCAGATTGGTCAGTGATCCCTCCTCTCTCCTCCTCGTCCCCCTCGCGCCCGATCGCGCGCGCCCTCTCGTCTCCCTGCGCAGCCCGCGAAGATCCTCTGCTTAACTTGCTCCGCTGCTGATCCATCCTCCGCCTCCCTTCCATCGAGAGCTTGCCCGGGAATCGTTTCTGGGTGGGCTGATGGGGATTTGCGGGGCGTCCATGACTCCAATCATTGCTGCTCAGGCCTTGGCCCACACGGCACGCTCTACTGTGGCACGCTCTCTAAACAGCGAGCGCATCTCGAACACTTTTTTGGTCGTGGAAGAGGGGTGCGTGCGCGGACGTGTCAATCACCCACTTCGATGCAACGGAAATGGAAACTTGAAAGCGGCATGGCCCCTAAGATGAAAGAGCAGCCGTCAGTGGTGGAGCCACAACTGTGCTGGGGGGGGTCGAAACGAACAACGTGGCTCTCCAAGCCAAGCCCCGCAAGTCCAGCCAAATCCGCCGCCGTGCCGCTTGCACTGAACAGGATGTTTCGAAACCTCGAACAAACCTTGATTCTGAGTGTCTCGGCGGTGGACAAACCTCCCTTTAGTAAACCTCCCTTTAGTGAAAACGGCCTGGGGCAGAAACCGACGGACCTGGACCCGCAAAAATGACGGCCGCGACGCCCTCTCGCGAACCGCCGAAAACGGCCAATTCCTTAATCGACGTGTCAGGGTAGGAGGTCTGTCCACCCCCGAGTGTCGAAAGCAAATGCTGGTAGAGGGGTGCTGGACCCATGACGTCCCGGCGACCTCCGCTCCCGGGGCTCTCCGCACGGCGTCTCCCAAAGCCTCGGAAGTGCAGATGAATCTCCTTAGGCATACAAGGCAATTTTTAATACATGGGATTTTTAATAATATGTGATTTTTGAGACATGATTAATGTATGAATAAATATATGCATGAACTCATCGTTGCTTTTAGTACTAAACCCTGCATTGTTAATACATGATCTGCACGCGGAGCATGTATTAAAACCGGCACTGTACGCTTGTTGTGCAAGCTCTTCCTTGCGCTGCTATGATTCATTCAACATGCTCCAGGATCGCCACAAAAACCCATCTTGGAGACTCTGGGAGCCCGCCGGAGAGACCAAGCCTGTCAGGCAAAGTACTGCGTGGAATCTTGTGACTTTCGTGGCCTCGCCTTCTTTCGGTCTGCCCAGCATTCCCAAGACAGCCCCTGAGCCCCCGAGAAGGGCCCAACGAGGTGGAACTCGAAGGAGCCCCCGGACGCCTCCTCCAGAAGATGCCCCCAAGGCCTCCGGCGACCCAGGAGGCCTCAGGGGACTCTCAACAGGAGCGCTCAAGAGGCCTTCGAGAAGCTTCTGGTGCACGCCCCAGGCACGGTGGCGAGATGGGCCGAGAGCCACTGGATCCGCCGCCCCCTGTTGGCTTGCCACAGGGGTGCCCGGCGTGCCAAATGCTAGGAAATTGTTGGTCCGTCTTGAAGGTTTCTAACAGGCCTTCGGCCCAACCCGCAGGCCACCCAGAAGGACGCGCAAAGGCGCGCAATGACGCGCAACGGCGCGCAAGGGCGCGCAAGGACGCGCACGTAGGGGAAACACCAGAAAACTCGCCTCCAAGACGGCCAATATTGTTCCAAGATGGCCTCCAAGATGGCAAAGATTGCCCCAACGGAGCCCAAGATGATCCCAAGACGCCTTCAAGACGGCCGAAGAAGCCCTCCAGACGGCCCAAGAGGCCCCCGAGACGCCCCAAGAGTGCTCCAAGAGGACAACATCATTGATTTTCCAGACAGGTTTCCCGACCATGTTCGCGTGCTCGCCTTTTCGATCTCCCGACGCTCAGCCCCATAGGCCCCCAAGATCGCCGCAAGACGGCCCAAGAGACCCCCAAGAGGCACACAAGACGGCCCAAGAGAGCCCCCAAGAGGCCCCCAAGCAAGAAGGCCCCATCGACCTCCACGATTGCCCTCAAGCGCCGAGAAAGAGGGACCCACGACTGCCCAGAGAGGGCCCCAAGACGGCCTCCGAACGCCAAAGGCCCGTCAGAGACCTCCAAGAAGCTCCAAAGGCTTCAGAAGGCCCCTCTGCGGCCCCAGTGAGGCCCCCAAGAGGCCTCTCAGAGGCCACCAAGAAGTTCCAGGAGGCATCAAGAAGGCCTCGAGACGGCCTCCTCTTCTTCCTCCTCCTCCTCGTCCTCCTCCTCCTCCGTCTCCTCATCCTCCTTTCTCTTACTCTCCTCAATGTTCCCCCCCAAGGGGTTCCACACCGGCTAGGGAAACACATGTTATAATAGCGTCGCCAAGCTTCGGCCCAACGTTTAGCCGCGTGTGCGTTTCCAAAAGGCAGGGGGCGGCTGTGATTGGCCGTCGGCGTCTTCGATCCGCGATCCCCTTCTGCTTGCAAAAGGGTGCGCAGCGGGCCTAATGTGTACTTCCCCTTCGGGCCCTTCCAAAAGGTTTCTGGCTCAGCATGCCAGCAACCCGGAAAGACCACAAAGTCAATGCAACTCGCCTCCAGAATGGCCAAACATGGCCTCCAAGACGTCCCACGACGCCTCCGAGATGGTGGCACCAAGATGCCAAGATGGCCTCAATATGACGCCGAAACGGCCCAATATGACCCCAAGACAGTCCAGGACGGCTCAAGAGGCTCGCGAGACGGCCTAGCATGGCTCCACTAGGCCCTCCAGGCGGTTCTGAATATGCCCAAATCATTGGTTTTCCTTAGGTGAGTCAAGGATTCGAGCCCTCTCCTGTTTTCCCAACTAGGCTTGCCTAGGGGGTTCTGACTTGGTGAAAGGTTGGTGCCTCCTACTGTTACTTTGCTCGTTGCTCGGAGGTTCTTCGGGTTCCTCGGGTTCCCCGCCCTCGGTACCTCATGCGGAGCAATGCCAAGCAATGCCACAACATGCAAAGCAAAGTCAAGCAAAGTCAAGCAATGCAAAGCAATGCCAAGCAATGCCAAGCAATGTCAAGCAATGCCAAGCAATGCCAAGCAATGCCAAGCAATACCAAGCAGTGCCAAGCAATGCCAAGCAGTGTCAAGCGATGCCAAGCACTGCCAAGCGGCCCCAGGAGCCCCCAAGAGGGGGTCAAGAAGGCCTAAGACTGCACAAGAAGACCCCAAGACGGCCCCACGAGGGCCACAAAGACCTCCAATACGGCCGGGAAGCATCCACAGCCCCTTGAGAGGCCGCCAAGAGGCTCTCAGATACCCTCACGGGGCCCGAAGGAAGCACCCCAGGACAGGAGGCCCAAGAGGCCTCCAAGAGGCCTCCTCCTCCTCCGCCTCCACCTCCCTCTCCCCGTCCTCGCCCTCGCCCTCGTCCTCGTCCTCTCTCTCTCCATCTCTGTCTCTCCCCAACTGTTCCCCCGAGCGTGTCCACAACGCGTGGCCACGCAGGCGTTTCCAGGGGGCAGAAGGGGGCAGCGGTTGTCCGCCGCCGCAGGCGCCTTCGGTCCAATCATTCTGTATTTACATGTCTCTGCGGCCCACCTGCTCAAGCGGAATTGCCGATGGTCGTGCCGTCGCTGGCGGCCGGCACGCTCGGCTCCCGCAGCTCCCCGAACACGGGCCGCCCCTTCTTCTCACGGTGGACCAGCCAGCACGCGCCCGACACCCCGAGAGCGGCGAAGACTGCCAGCGCAGAGATGACGGCAACGATGCCGGCACCCAGCCCCGAGCTCTGCTCCAAGTCCGCCTCCAGGCGAGCGATCTCGGCCGCGCTGGCGTCGGAGGCCTCGTAGTGCGCCGCGCAGCTGAAGAAGTCACCGCCACCCGTCGCGCAGAACCTGTCCTTTGCGCAGGCCGTGAGCCACGCGTCGCAGTACGAAGCCTTGATCGGCATCTTGTGCATCTGCCACGTGTTGTGGTCACAACCCTGGGCCGTCGCGAAGGCCTCGTCGTACCCCTCAGCGTAGGCATCGCACCTGGGGTCGTACTCGGTCGAGTTCCACTTCCGGAAGAGCCCGGCGTTCGGATCGCACTCGTAGAAACACGCCTCCTGAACGAAGAAGCGCTCACACTCCGGGCTCAGCGGGCCGCAGCGGTCCCAGTGGAACTCCTGGCCGTAGGCCTCCTTGAGCGTCGTGGCACTCATGACGGTGTCATGGCTGCAGCAGGCATTGTCCTTCCAAGGGTGACACTCGCTGAAGCCATCGGGCTCAGGCCCCGGAGTGTCCTTGTGGAAGTAGTCCAGGTGGCACACTTCGTGGTCGCCCGTCAGAAGGCCCAGGCTCTCAGAGGTCGCATCGTTGGGATTCTCTGCGTCATAGAACCACATCGTGTAGGCCTTGGCCTCGTCTTCTTCATAGGTAAAGGCGTCGTTCCACATGTTCTCGCAGAGCTCTTTGCCGCTGGCATAAATCTCATCGAAGCGCTTACACTCAGGGGGCTGAGATCCCAGGACAGCGGCTGGCGCGGCGATGACCAAAGCACTGACGGCGACGACCGCGCAACGAGGAGCCATGTTTGCCCAGAGAGACGGACACACTATGGTGATACGAGCGAGAGATGAGTGAGATGCGGTGGTTGTTCCCTGCGCAGGTCCTAACCTGATCAGGTTCAAGCGGTATGTTCTCAGCTCACTCTGAGTGGGCACCCGCACAACCGATGGCCGCGAATTGTGGCACTTGAGCCAATGATGAGTGATGATGCGTGCGATGTGAAGCATCATGGCGTACACGAGAAGACTAATATTCATCCAGACCTCACGCCACGGCTTGCGGCACCAATGGGTCATCTCTCCTTGCTCCTCTTCCATTCGCCTTCTCGTTCCTTCCTTCCCCTTTCCCCTTGTGGCCCCTCCCCCCGCCTCCGCCACTCTGCTGGCAAACCCTGCCGATATCCAGGCCTCGAACAAAGGCCCACGTCCCACAGCGAAAGGCTCCCTTGTTGGCCCACGGAACCCGAGCAACCGCGACCGATCGCAACCGTTTCGGACCGATCGTCGACCACTTCGAACCGATCGCAACCAATTGCGATCGGTCGGAGGCGGTTGCGACGTTTCGGGGACGCTTGAACAAGGTATCGATCAAAAGAGATATCACAGTAGAGCGCTTCTGGATGCAAGACGAGCCTAAGAACTCCGATATTTTGCACATCGCCGACGGCTCGCCACCTCGACCGTGATCTTTGCATAACGCACGTGCTTGACCCCAACCGTGACCGTGATCCCTCGACCGGATCTGTTCGGGATCTCAGGATTCCGCACAGTCTTCCGGATTCCGTAGGGACCGCAGGATGAACGAGGATTCGTTGGGAATCTGGAATTTTCCTCAACACAATTGAAGATCTGTTCGGAATTCTCTGGATTCCTCATGGGGCCCTTACGCTTCGTCCGGAATCCTCAGCAATCCGTAATATTTGTTGAGAATCTTAAAAGTTCCTCGGGATTCTTCAGGATTCCTCAGGACCCCGCCGATGGATTCCTAAGGATCCCTAAGGGTTCCTAAGGGTTCCTCCAGATTCCCGAGGGTTCCCGAATGCTTCGAGAGGGTTTCTTTGGATGCCGAAGGATTCCTAAGGGCCCCAAGGGATTTTCCAGGATTCCCAAGGATCCCGAGAAGAAACCTCAGGAATCCTCAGAATTCCCAGGAGATTCTGAAGGACACCTCAGGACTCCGAAGGCTCTGGGCCCCTGATGATTCCAGAAGGTTCCGCAATATTCTTCAGGATTCCAAAAAGGATTTGTCCGGATCCCCAAAAGGTCCACAAGGATTCCTCAAGGTCCACAAAGATTCCCAACGATCCCGAAGATCTCCGCAAGATTTCCAAGGATTCCTCATAATTCCTCAGGATTCCTCTGGGACCTCGGGATTCCTCAAAACTCCTCGGGTTTCCGAGAGATTCCGCTGGATCCCCAAAGATTCCCAAAGATTCCCTAAATGCTCCGGGATCCCGAGAACCCCTGAATACCCCATAAGATTCAGAAGGACTCCAATGGAATGCCCTGGATTTCTCAAGATCACACAAAAATCGTCAACACTCCGAAAGATTCCTCGGGATAACGAGGATCCTACGGATTCCTCAGGGTGCCTGCGGATTCCGAGGGATGCCAGAAATTTCCTCTGGATTCCACTGGATCCCAAAGACTCCAACAAGGATGCCGGAAGAACATTCCAGGATATTCCCAAAACAATCCGATGGGCAACGCCTTGCACATGGGAGCCGTGAGGATGTATGATGATTCCTTCGGGTTCGAAGGCCTCCTCAGGATTCCTGCGGAACTCCTTGGAATGCTGACAGATGTTGGAGGTCCGTAGCAATAGTCGTACTCGTGATAGTAGTAGTAGTAGTAATAATAATAGTAGTACTAGAAGTACTAGAAGTACTATTACTAGTAGTAGTAGTAGTAGTAGTAGTAGTAGTAGTCGTAGTAGTAGTGGTAGTAGTAGTAGTAGTAATAATAGTAGTAGTAGTAGTAGTCGTCGTAGTAATAGGAGTAGTAGTAGTAGTCGTAGTAGAAGTACGAAATAGTAGTAGTAGTAGTAGTAGTAGTAGTACTAGTATTAGTAGTAATCGTAGAAGTAGCAGTAGTAGTCGTAGTAATAGTGGTGGTACTGGTAGTGGCAGTATAGTGGTAGTGGTGGTAGTAGTAGTAGTAGTAGTAATAGCAGTGGTCGTAGTGTTAGTAGTAGTAGTAGTAGTAGTAGCAGTAGCAGCGTAGTAGTAATAGCAGTGGTCGAAGTGCTAGTAGTAGTAGTAGTAGTAATACTGATAATCATTATTATTACTATTCGTAGTAGTAGTAATAGTAGCAGTCGCAGCAGCAGCATAAGTAGTAGTAGTAGTAGTAGTAGTAGTAGTAGTAGTAGTAGTAGCAGCGGTAGTAGTAGTGATAGACGTAGTAGTCGTAGTAGTAGTAGTACTAGTAGTAGTAGTAGTAGTAGTAGTAGTAGTAGTAGTAGTAGTAGTACAAGTAGTAGTAGTAGTAGTAGTAGTAGTATTAGTAGTACTACTACTGGAAATTGGATAACTGCTAATAAAGATAATGGTAGCCATGGTGGCGGTAGTAGTACTAGTAGTAATGATAATCGGGGTAGTAGTCGTGGTAGTAGTACTAGTAGTAGTAGTAGTAGTAGTAGTAGTAGCAGAAGTAGTAATAGTAATAGCAGCAGCAGTAGTAGTAGTAGTAGTAGTAGTAGTAGTAGTAGTAGTAGTGGTAATAGTCGTAGTAGTAGTAGTAGTGGTGGTGGTAGTAGTAGTAGTAGTAGTAGTAGTAGTAGTAGTAGTAGTAGTAGTAGTAGTAGTAGTAGCAATAACAATCGAAATAGTAGTAGTAGCAGAAGTAGTAGTCGTCGGAGTAGTAGTAGTAGTAGTAGTAGTAGTAGTAGTAGTGGAAGCAGTGGTAGTCGTACTAATAAAATCGTAGTCGTAGTAGAGGTAGCAATGGTAGTCGTCGTAATAATTGTTTTGGACGTAAAAGTAATAAGAGTGGTAGTGGTAGTCGTCGTGGTAGTAATAAAACTTACCCTGCGACGTACCCAACCCACGTGCATCAAATGGCAAGAGGACTATGCCAACATTCGCAGGAACAACGACAGTGTGAACGCGGCGATTTGCTGTGCAAGCTACATGGGATGCGCATGCGCTGCACGATTCACAAGACGACGATCGAAAGAACGAGGATTGAGGCCCCAGGATCGAAGAAGAACGGGCACGGGAACGAGGGGTAGGAGAGGGATGGAATGGAGGGCGGGGGGGGCGAAAAGGCCATCGCGGAAGCAGCAGCATGCGTGGAGAAGGTAAGGTGGGGAATAGGACGACGATGAAAGTGGCGGGGGGAGACAGAAGACTGCCGCGTTTTTCAAACGCGAGCTAAACCCGCAGCGCTGCCTGCGCCATGTCGTCGCAAAGTTCCATATGACAAAACTTGTTTAGAGCGCAAGGAACGAGCGAGGCGTAGCTCGCCCGCTAGCTTCTCCGCCTCCTTCCCGCACATTTCAGCGCGGGAGCTGAACGCTCGCAGGCGCGCCGCCAGGTCTGCGGGCGGCCCGCGGGGAAGAAACTCAAGGCCGGGGTCGCGCATCATCAATCGGTTGTCCATCGTCCAAAGTTGCACTGGCGACGTACTGGTTGAACGCGGAGCGAGCAGCATCACGCGCGTGCCTGAACGCCACGCAGGTACAGTGCACGCGCGATTGGGACTTCAGGTCGATCACGCGCGTCTCCACCAGGCTTGGCAACGCCACGCGACTGAGGATCTCACTGCGGTCTGCCATGCTGCTGTCCGCGAATGCAATGCGCTGCCTGCAAGTAAGGCGGCGGCGTCCACTTGTCTCAGAAGATGTTCCCGCGGGCCCGAAGGGCGACCGCCAGCTCGAGCCGCGGCGCCGGCAGGCCAGATAAGGATCATGCAACAGCAAAGACGATGACAGAGCAACGAGGTATCGGCGAGTGCATGACAGGCCTCCGTTTCCTGCACTTCTTTCCTGTAGCTCCCCTAGCTCATCGAGCTCAGCAGATGTTTCTGCGGGTCCGAAGGACGACCGCCAGCTCGAGTCGCAGCGCCGACGAGCTGCATCCACATCAGGCAACACCCCAGGAGACACTGGCACACAACGATTTGACGTCAGTCAGTGCCAGACCACTCCATGTCTAGTTCCTCGCACACATACAGTCGATCGCAGATGCGGGATAATCGAAGTAGAATGACGGGTCCAATCTGCGTCCGCGTAGGACGTCACTATGCTGGACCCCGCAGCAGGTCTCGAAAGTGGCGACAGTTTCATGGGCCCCACAGCAGCCCTCGAAAGTGGCGACAGTTTCACAGATCGCAGCCCCCCAGGGATGGCGAGGTCTAATCTGAGTCCCCGTAGGACGTCACTCAGCTTGCCCCCCAAGCAGCCTTCGAAAGTGGCGACAGTTTCACAGATCGCCGCCCCCCAGGGATGGCGAGGTCTAATCTGAATCCCCGTAGGGCGTCGCTCCGCTGGGCCCCCCATGCAGCCTTCGAAAGTGGCGACAGTTTCACAGATCGCAGCCCCCCAGGGATGGCGAGGTCTAATCTGAATCCCCGTAGGGCGTCACTCCGCTGGGCCCCCCAGCAGCCCTCGAAAGTGGCGACAGTTTCACAGATCGCAGCCCCCCAGGAATGGCGAGGTCTAATCTGAATCCCCGTAGGGCGTCACTCCGCTGGGCCCCCCAGCAACCCTCGAAAGTGGCGACAGTTTCACAGATCGCAGCCCCCCAGGGATGGCGAGGTCTAATCTGAATCCCCGTAGGGCGTCGCTCCGCTGGGCCCCCCAGTAGCCCTCGAAAGTGGCGACAGTTTCGCAGATCGCAGCCCCCCAGGGATGGCGAGGTCTAATCTGAATCCCCGTAGGGCGTCACTCCGCTGGGCCCCCCAGCAGCCTCGAAAGTGGCGACAGTTTCACAGATCGCAGCCCCCCAGGGATGGCGAGGTCTAATCTGAATCCCCGTAGGGCGTCACTCCGCTGGGCCCCCCAGCAGGCCTCGAAAGTGGCGACAGTTTCACAGATCGCCGCTCCCCAGGGATGGCGAGCGGCAAGCTAGGTAGGTAAAATGCAAGCGAGAAGAGGACGAGCGAAGAGAGGCGGAGAAGGGAAGCACGAGAGGAGATGAAGAGGGAAGATAGAAGGAGGAGGCGGGAAGGAAGGAAGGAAGGAAGGTGGAGACCGCAGTGCTCTATTCAAAACGAGAACCCAACGCAGGAGGGTTGGGAACAATCGTAATAACAACCGAAATAATGGAGATTGTAACAATCGTAATACTAA